GGTAATAGGCTCATTTGTTCTCGCAGAAAATTCGCACTTACGGGCTATTGCTATCTTCTCAATTTGTAGTCATTATACTGTTTTTGGTATACGTAGTATTGGACAAGAATAGAGCTTATTGCTGCGAACAGTTTTAGTCTGATACAAATACATTTTTTTCAGTACTACAAAGCTTTTTAGGTCGCTGATTTCAGGAAAAATAAAAAACGCTGGAACAACAGAGATCCCTCCTCATGTTCAGACATTGCTTGGAGGAGACGAAAACTGTAGCTTGGAAGGTGGACGCGGTTGTTGCAAATTTAATGTCTTTGAAAGATCTTCTATTATTAAGAAACTGCAGATCTTAGTGATACTATGCCCCTGTTGGATATGATTAGCCACACGTATTTCCCATACATCTGCCATGGAAACAGAAATATGATAGATTTTACTTTATACAGTCTGATATGTAGAGGTCCAAGGTTCATCCTACCTAAGTGAACCCACTTAATCACGATTCGATTCCGCCTTGACTTATCTATTTTCTTAGAAACTTCCGACAACGGCGTAAGTATATTATAGAGTCCAGCTACTTGACGCCATTTTCAGAAGATACTTGAAGTGTATTCATGACTACATCGCCCTGAATTTCAGCAGGGAAGGCTATTAGAAATTATGCTTACAGAAATTAAATTAAGTATTTTTTACAATGAAAATCTTGGTGGCTGCTATTGAATCATCCTGTATACTAGTTTTGCAATCTTTATATTAGCTCCTTATTATGAACTTTGAAGATTCATTGTATCCTAATCACGATTCGATTTCGTCTTTTGCAATGTCTTTACTCATCTCTTTTCTTTCAACCGCCAGCAAAGGTATAGAAAGAATTGGGTCAATCATCTTGCCGCTATTGTTCAAAACATACACCGCCCTGCATTTCAGTAAGAAAGGATATCAGCAATTATTCTTGCAGAAATATGAGTATTTTCCAAAATGAAAATCCTGGCCACTGCTACTGTATCCTCCTGTATATTTGATTTGAATATCTTCATGCTAGCTCCTCATTATGTATTTTTGGCATTCTCGCATAAAAACAGACATAAAGAGCGAACAAAATGGAGTCATTTCACCGCCCATTGCGAAACATGAACACTGTAATGAAATGGTTTAAGCTCGTGTGAACATAGGGTAAGCTAAAAACTCGACTCGCCTCGGGTTGAAAAGTGAGAAGAATGTGAGAGAACTGTATCATCAAAATTAAGGCAACAGAGGCAACTCGTGTGTGGAGGTATAAAATTCAGAGGATCACATTTCTGCAATTACTGTTCCTTTACGTCATAATAGTAATCATTTATTAATTTATCGGTTAATGAATTTCTTCAAAGCAATAAAAACAATCCCTACAACTCCCTGATGCATAATGCAATTACTATGGACATAGACAAAAAATTATGAAAAATGTTTCACAAATACTGTCTTTTAAGTCCAAAAATCATAAAAACTAGTAATGTTTATTGTTTGTGTTTTTGACTGGCGGTCGTTGACTTTCTGACACAGTCCGGATCGAAAGATGACGATACTCGTGAAATGTATTGATGCTTCTAAATATAGGATCGTATCGAACGTCCCTACTGTCAAGATGTATAACCCAAGGTACCGACGGAGCTATTTTGCGGCGTCATGGAAATAATTTTAAATTTTCATTTGCATTTTTCCAAGTGTTGTGCAATGATTTTGGAAAAAATGTCACGAATAGCCTTCTAAGCATAGTAGAAAGTATATTTCAACAGTTGGCGGAACTTACTCCACTGGGACCAGGAGGGTGAAACGGGATATTAATGCACAATCTGGCAACCCTGTCGCACCCTCACAAAATGGCCTTCCAAAAAGCATTAAATGCTCGTAAGACATGTAATATGGGAATCTTCTGCAATTGCCTATTGCTAGTAACATTACCGCTGTGGATTGGTTTTCAAAACATCGTGGTTTTTACTCCCCATGCCAGGGAAGTATCGCGAACATTTTCTAACTTCAATGTTCTTTACGAAAGTCTGCTTCTGCCTCAACTAGATACGCTACTGAGTGCAGCTGGTCAATATCCCATTTGAAATATAATGAAAAGCAGACGAAAGAGCCATCTTATGCGTCTAATGTCTATTATGGTAGGTTTTTTGTAGCCCCAAAGTGTGAACGGTCTAATTTAAATTGGAGTGCTGGGAGTACCGCGGTGTCAGATACCGTAATTACAGGACTTGTTCTGAGGAACTATTTTAATGGACATCACTCATGTATAGACAAAATAATAGGCTATTTTTGTGTGTAAATTGTAAATGTGCATCTCGGAAATAAGTTAATAACATATAATTATTATATTCCTTTAAGTTGTTTGACTGGATCTAAATTACTCAAAAGTATTACCTCAAAGTTCTAGTTTTTTATAGCTTTTCGATTGTTATCTCCAATTGTGTAGGCTCTTAAATTTATACAGACAAACACTAGTCTCTTAAGATAAAACTTAGATATATACTAAGTGACATATAAATCCGAACACCCAGTTTAAATGGTTTTATTTTGATAAAATTTTGTATAAGTACTTAATGAAGCATAATAAGTAAATGATAAAAATTTCAAAATGATTGCACTGCTTTAAAGCCCTTTAACCTTTAATAATGTGTGGATGCACCCTGATGTGCTACGCATTCTCCAACGCGCCTAGGCATGCTTCTGATCAGGTGGTCGATGTCCTTCTGTGGTATCTCATTCCAGACAACCACCAACTCCTCTCGAAGTGCTTCTAGAGTCTGAGGAGGACGTTGCAAATTGAGCAATCTCCTACCCATCATATCCCACACGTGCTCAATTGGGGATAAATCGGGAGATCTTGGTGGCCATGGTAACAATGTGACATCATTATGTTAAAAGAAGTCTATTGTGACTCTTGCAACATGTGGTCGGGCATTATCTTGTTGGAAAGTTGGATCTGCCAGGGTGTCAAGATAGGGTAAAAGATGGGGTTCTAGAACTTCGTGGATATAACGCTGCGCGTTCATGTTACCTCTGATGAATATTAAAGGTGACCTGGAACCATAAGCTATAGCACTCTAAACCATAACTCCAACAGTGTGATGAACATGTCTTTCAACAAAAAACTGTGGATTCCTCCTTTCACCACGTCGCCTTCTAACCCTGGAACGACCATCGTGCATACCTAAACAAAATCGAGACTCGTCACTAAAGACAATACTGTTCCATTCCTGATCCCAGAATGACCGTTGTCTGCACCACTCAAGGCGATTACGTTGGTGTTCTCGAGTTAAAGGGAGGACCCAGTGTGGCCGGTATGAAAACAAGCCAAAACTTCTCATTCATCGGTAAACACTTCGCATGCCAATAGGTCTTCCGTGTTCTGCAAACCATTCATTTGCAATGTGGAGAAACGGTCCCTTAAGGCCAATAATCTTAGGCGGCGATCTCCACGGTCTGTTGTTCTACGGCGGCGTCTAGTGCCCCTTGCTCTTTGCGTACAGCCTTCTCGAAGCCATGCCTGACAACACCTAACCACAGTGTCTACACTTCTTTGCACTCTAACTGCAATTGCCCGAAAAGAAAGTCCAGCTTCCCGAAGTCCCACTATACGGCCCCTATCAAACTCACTAAGTTGACGAAATCGTACAGGTCTCCGTACTCTAGGCATCGTAACCGATCGTAAAGGATGTCAAGAACCAAAATCCGCCAACGTTGATTCTTTACTGCGGCTGAAATATTCATTTTTAGAGCGTTAGTGAATTAAAAAAAGCAATATAAAAACCGGAATGTCCAACTGATAAGGTTGAAAATTTTTTCACTTGTTATTTACAGTAAGATAAATACATTCACCAACTTTTATTAAAATAAAACCATTTAAACTGGGCGTTCGGATTTATATGTCACTTAGTATATAAACCAGGAGATTAAGTATGCTGGAATATTATAATAACCAATAAAGTGCAAAATCAAAAAACATGAAGATATGACGATGCAACTCAACTGGAAGGAAGGCAACAAATCCAGCACTGTCTCTCTGGTTTTTGATACAATCAGTGGCATTTCCTCTACTCATTGGTATACATGTTTTAGTCAAAATAATTTTTTTTTTTGCTTTTCTTCAACCGAAACTTGACTAGCATTCGTCACATCATTCATTTCAGCAACCACATTCAGATCTTCTAAGTCTTGGCTCTAGTGAATCTGATACAGTTTCGATAGTTGCAGCAAATGAATGTGCCCAAAAAAAAACCAAAAAGAGATGAATGCAAAATCATCAAATAATCGAGGAACTATAAATGAAAAATTTCTCACGAATAAAGATGATGGTGATATGTCTGAAGAAAGAATGGATGTTGATAAGTCAGTGCTCAGGAGGTCTATTGCTAAACTTATAGTTGGAATGGATCTTGATGAAGCTAAGAGGAATAAGAGTTTGAAGAATAAGAAGAGCGTCAACGGTATTAGGATTTAAAGAGAAATTTTGTATAAAAGCAGAATATATAACTACTGAAACTGTGTCAGATTCAATTTAGAGAAGACTTAGAAGGTCTGAATCAAAGAATTTGATTCGTGAAAAAAAATGATGTGACAGATACAAGTAAAGCAAGACACTGATTTAGAAAAACCACAAAAAACAAATTGATTTTGCCTAAAAAATGTATATATAGTCAACGCCAAACAAAGTGGCGTGCACGTCATCAAGGTGGGTGTGTTGAAAAATTTACATTGTTGCCAAACTTTTTGTAAAATAATAAAATTTATTATTTACATATCTAGGTTGATAAGCAATATTAACCTCAAATGAGAACAAAAATAATAGTATAATAAAATTATAGATCTGTACTTGCATAATCATTAAGTATGACAATTATTGATCAGATGACACTATGAAACTACCATATTTAATTGATAGCTTAAAGGTACTGAATAAAAATCCAAATGGGGTCATCCAAATTTTATGCATGGTATTTATTTTACAGAATTCATACAGAAAAATGCATTCTAAAATTAGGTAAGCTACTGGTGTAAGCTTTTTCTGTACAATAAAGTTAGTCGGAGTTTCTTTCTTCAGCGCTGTCTGAATCTGAATCTTCATCACTCTCAAAGTTGATTATTAAAGGTTCGATGTCTGGTCGATCAAAAATTCGTTCTCTTTCATACCATTTAAAAATTTCTTGCTCAGTATGTCGAACACTATTTTTCCACATGTCTGGGGTAACCGTTTGTAGAGCCTCGTTCCACATATCCAAACAGTCTTTTTCACTGTTACCATCTCTACCAATATGTCTGTTATAGTAACCTTTTGCTATGCCCCAAATTAACTCAATAGGGTTAAATATACAATGGTAAGGAGGCAGACGAAGAACTTTGTGCCCATGTTGTTCCGCCAATTCATCAATCACGTATATTTTAGGTGGTTTGTTTCTAAAAAAGCAGTTATTTTAAGAATAGGAATAAACAAAAGAAATATAAACTGTCGACCAAAATATATATAATTAAGAAGCATTATGTACCGAGCAACAATACTCAATAGCTCTGTTTTAAACATTGTGTTTAAAAATGGTATGTTTTGATTTGTCAACCAGTCTTGGATATTTTTTTTGTCCATGCATTGTTGGGCACTTTGTTCAATATCATGCTGTGATAAGGGGCGTTATTCAGTATAATCATAGATGGACTCTCCAATTTTTCTAATAACTGATGTTGAAACCATTTCAAAAAATTGTCCTGGTTCATCTCCATGGTAATCGCTCAATTTTGTTTTCGAAGAAAATATCGCTTCACTACCCTCAATAAACCCATTTTCATTTCCAGCATGTAATATAATGTATCTAAAATATATTAGTTTTAAATTTTATAGTGCAAATTGTGTAAAAGTACATACCTTTTACCATCTGTTTTAATAGCTTTCACGCTTTTTTGGTTTCCATTTTGCCAAGAGCGACCTATGGTCCCATTTTGAAATATCCAAGTTTCATCGAGGAAGACAAACTGGTATAAGGCCTCAACCTTGGCTTGATTGTATTGCCTTAGAAATTCCACCCTTTTCAAAGCTATACTTGGTAGTTCCATGAGCCCTCGTCGCGGATTGTCCTTAAGCCACTTAAATCCAAGATCTCTAAGCAACCGCCTTAAAGACGTGGCACTACCATCAAATAATGCCCTATCTCTTAATCGAGACCATAAAGTTTGTATCGTAACTTGTTCTTCTGAAACCATGTGTAATATGTCATTATAATTTAGTTAACAAATTAATGCAAATTTCTGATAAGTTATTATAATAAGATCTTACTTTTGTGATACATATTATAGATCACTTCTCGAATGGCACTTGTATCCAATGTCGCTGTGTTGGTTACACGTTTAATATAACTCCGCTTTTTCTTGGGCGATTCTAAATTTGCATCACTTTTCACACCCTCGGAAATACGACTAACTGTCCTTAAACTAATTTTTAAAGCAGCAGCAACACGCTACAAAAAATGAAATAAAATTTCACTATTATTAATATATATATATTACATATAATTATTAGTAACCTACCAATTGAACAGCATTTAAAGGCAACAAAGGCCCGTTGTTGTCCCTTTCTTGCTCAAAGTAGTGCATTAACGAGGCCACGAGTTCCTTACACCGACTATTTAACTGTTTGGGCATCTTTATATACCAAAATTGCCTTTATCTACTCGTAAAATGAATAATTTTGTTTTGAAACAAACAGTTGTTGATATACAGTATGCGGGGCCAAAGGATTTATAAAGATTTGAAATGCCACAAATTGATTCAGTGTCAAAATTAATACAAATGTCAGTTCCCAGTTTAAATAAGTTTCAAGGTGACGCTGCGAAATCGGTTTAGTGCGTTTACATGTCGATAAGTGATTGGAGCGTTTGCAAAACATTTTATTTCGCATAATGCGTCTAAATTTATCAGAAAGCAACTTATGTGATATTTTAATAACAATGTTTATATGACTATTAACCATAATAAGAGAGTAATGACCATTTTACAATTTATATATCACATTAATATGAAACTGCAATAGAGCAATTGTTTGTGATAGAAACCTAGGCATTAGGTCGGGGAATTTTTATCGTGATGACGTGCACGCCACTTTGTTTGGCGTTGACTATAGTAGAGGAAATGCCACCGATTGTGTCAAAAACAGTTTTTTTTGAATCATAAATTTCTGTTTTGAGTACAGGTGATGTTTTACTAATGTATGAGTTGTAAATAGTAGTGCTGCTGTAGAGACTTTTTCCGCTAGCATCGTGTACATACAACTGTAATGCATTAGCATTGTAACTTTTGTTTTAGTATTGTTTGATGTTAAATTAGAATTTACAGGTCATATTAGTACAATCCGCTATAAGAAGTCTTGGTTTTTTGATAAGAAACTGTAAATCGTTTGATAGTGAAACGGCACTGAAGGCTTTATACTGCACCTTGGTGCGTTTTAAGCTGGAATATGCATCTAGTGTATGGCATCCATATTACCAAATCTATACTAATGAAATTGAAAGTGTAAAGAGGAGATTTCTTAAATGGGTTATCCAATAGGGACACAGGAAAGTAAACGTCAATTTGACATAGACGCCATCTCTGTTTTCTGTCACCGACATGTCGTTTTGTTATTTGAATGTTTACCATTGATCGCTATGGAGTCGTAATCGATTGAAGTTATTCAAGAGCTCTACAAAAATGGTGCAAAAATAAAAAGCACGTTTCGCGCGCTTCGTGAACATTTCGGTCGCAACAACCGCCCAAACGAAACAACCATTGGTCGTCTGGTGCGTAAATTCGAGGCAACAGATTCTGTGGAAAATCTGCCTGGCTCTGGCCGGCCAAGGAGCGTTCGCACACCGGAAAATATTGCTGTTGTGAAGGAGAGTGTGAGAGACGATCCGAAACAATCAACAACGCGTCGATCCCAAGAATTGGGCATTTCGAGAACCAGTTTGCTCCGCATTCTCCACAAGGATTTGGATGTACACGCCTACAAGATCCAATTGACGCAAGAGCTGCGTCGGGCCGACCATTTTTCGCGCCGAACGTTCTCAGATTGGCTCCTTGAACACCGCCAAATTGATGCCAATTTTTCATCAAAAATCATGTTCAGCGACAAAGCGCATTTCACTTTGAATGGGACGGTAAACAAGCAAAACTGCCGCATCTGGGCGAACGAAAATCCTCGTGAGTATCAAGAGCAGCCGATGCATCCTCAAAAAGTGACTGTGTGGTGTGCATTGTGGTCAAAAGGCATCATCGGACCTTACTTTTTCGAAAATGCGGCCGGGGACGCCGTTACCGTCAATTCTGAGCGATATCACGTGATGATAGAGGACTATTTTTTGCCGCAACTTGAAGGAATGGATATGGACGATGTTTATTTCCAACAAGACGGTGCAACATGTCACACAAACAACGTCAATATCCATCGATTGCAGTCCTTCTTCGGTGATCGCGTGATTTCGCGCAGAGGAAATGTGCCATGGCCAAAAAAAACGTGCGATTTGACTCCCTTGGACTTCTTTTTATGGGGATATTTGAAAAGCAAAGTCTACGTCAACAAACCAGCCACCCTCCAAGAACTCGAAAACAACATCATTGCCGAGATAAATGCCATAGAACCGACCATGTTGCAAAATGTCATTGAAAATTTGAGCGATATTATTTTTCGTACATAAATGGTATAAATGAACCTTCAAAATAAAGTACCCAACTTGATTTGAATATCATTCTTTCTTGTTTTAATATGCGTTTACTTTCCTGCGTCCGTTTTGGACCATACTGGACTTTCAAATTAGATGGTGTTTACCCCAATCGTGGGACTCCCCAACCAGCGATGTTGCTTAGATTTGAAACGCATCCTCTTGAGCTGAGAAGAGTTTGTAATAGTTTAAAATTCCTATACAAACTCGTAGCTTTATTAGCTAAAATTGATTTTCATGTACCGTCCTGCATTTCGCGAAGATTTCTCGCTTTTTACTTAAAAACACCAAATTCTAATGTTATGATTAAGTCACCCGTGGACTTTATGTGCTCCAGCTTTGACACCATAGCTGATAATTGTGAGATTCATCATGATAAAGTCAAAGATATATTAGCTGTATTCAGCGACTACTATTATTCATTTTTTCTTTCATATTTTTTTTCAGAAACTGGGCGCGCTATGATTGTAGTTAAGAATACTGTAAGGTCAAATAGTATTCAATTACATTGTTCTTTAAATGGATGTATCTGTTGGGCAATAAATATATTATTATTACTGTTATTATTATAGGGGCTAGTAATGTTTAACCTCAAGAGCAAGTTGGTTGTAGATTTTACATACAGCTATTTTGGCTAGTATTTTAGCAACATTTCTTATTTTCAATTGATTAAGCTGGTGAAATGATATGTTCAAGAAGTTCAACAATTTTTATGTGAAAGAATAATTTAAAATACTCGTTTCTGGCCATTCGATGATCGAAATTCAAATGCCCAAATACTGAACGCCCTTTTCTCCGTCCATATAACTGCAGATACCCACTCTGGGATCGTAATATTTTGTATCTTTCACGTATTGTTCTCTAAAACGCTTTAGCAGTACAAAATGTAAAAAAGCAATTCTATAACCCAAGGTGACGTTTTCCGTACACAGTCTATGTGTTGCATTCTTTCAACCCAATCGTATTCTCGAACAAATAGACATTTTCTCACATTCAGTTCCTTAAAGATAGGCTATTACAAACTAAGATGAGAAGCAACTACGCTTTCGTACCCAAATGAAGAAAATAATCCACTTATCACCTGCTCACGTCTGAGCGCCATTGTTTATATACGTATGTGGTTTCTATTATGTTCCAAAATCGATCAAAATAATGTTTATTGCGTGGTGGATTTGACGATTTGCGAAGAAACAAGCACATAACGAAACAATTTTTGTACGTTTCAGTATACAGACTGCAATTTTTGCATTCCTTCTCGCCCTTCTGCTAAACCACACGATTGGAACTATTGGAAGGTCTAAGCCCCTTTTACATTCACGTTCCAACAGACATCGTGCCTTGCGATTTTTCCCATACAGTGTCGGACTAGCTGGTACAACCAGAGAAACGCGGGTTTATTTTGAGGTCGCGATAGTTTCAAAAAGATTGTCTATTTGAGTGTTAGCAATTAAGCATTCGGTCATAGTTCCCCAGGGATCGGTCTATCTATCAGTCCGATTCACAGCTTTGCCCATGACTACACTCCGCATGCAGGAATTCAGACTTGATCTGGCATAAAAATAACAAAAGATAAATGTATTGCCACCCGTTCGGGAAACTGTAATTTCAATCGCAAAGTCCACTAAAACGTAGTTTATGCTTTTTCAAACGTCTCTCTCCACCTTAACGCACAACTCAGGTATTGTTGTTTCGCAATTTTCTTCAAACAGGATTCTATTTTTCTGTCTCCAATTGTGTATGATGCATTTTGTCATGATGGGCAAGGAATATCTCATTATCTAACCATCTTTAGATCCTCATGCATCTACGTATATAAGAAACATAGACAACTTTTTAAATACTAACGAAAACTTGCAAATTAATTATCATATTTTTATAGATGACATTTACACACATATTTTGGATCTGCAACGGCGAAAGAATACTTAAATATACTAAGTGACATATAAATCCGAACACCCAGTTTGAATGGTTTTATTTTAATAAAATTTTGTATAAGTACTTAATGAAGCATAATAAGTAAATGATAAAAATTTCAAAATGATTGTACTGGTTTAAAGCCCTTTGACCTTTAATAATGTGTGGATGCACCCTGATGTGCTACGCATTCTCCAACGCGCCTAGGCATGCTTCTGATCAGGTGGTCAATGTCCTCCTGTGGTATCTCATTCCAGGCAACCACCAACTCCTCTCGAAGTGCTTCTAGAGTCTGAGGAGGACGTTGCAAATTGAGCAATCTCCTATCCATCATATCCCACACGTGCTCAATTGGGGATAAGTCGGGAGATCTTGGTGGCCATGGTAACAATGTGACACATTATGTTGAAAGAAGACTATTGTGACTCTTGCAACATGTGGTCGGGCATTATCTTGTTGGAAAGTTGGATCTGCCAGGGTGTCAAGATAGGGTAAAAGATGGGGTTCTAGAACTTCGTGGATATAACGCTGCGCGTTGATGTTACCTCTGATGAAGATTAAAGGTGACCTGGAACCATAAGCTATAGCACCCCAAACCATAACTCCAACAGTGTGAGGAACATGTCTTTCAACAAAAAACTGTGGATTCCTCCTTTCACCACGTCGCCTTCTAACCCTGGCACGACCATCGTGCATGCCTAAACAAAATCGAGACTCGTCACTAAAGACAATACTGTTCCATTCCTGATCCCAGAGTGACCGTTGTCTGCACCACTCAAGGCGATACGTCGGTGTTCTCGAGTTAAAGGGACGACCCAGTGTGGCCGGTATGAAAACAAGCCAAAACTTCTCATTCGTCGGTAAACACTTCGCATGCCAATAGATCTTCCATGTCCTGCAAACCATTCATTTGCAATGGACCTGGCACTGGAGAAACGGTCCCGTAAGGCCAATAATCTTAGGCGGCGATCTTCACGGTCTGTTGTTCTACGGCGGCGTCCAGTGTCCCTTGCTCTTTGCGTACGGCCTTCTCGAAACCATGCCTGACAACACCTAACCACAGTGTCTGCACTTCTTTGCACTCCAACTGCAATTGCCCGAAAAGAAAGTCCAGCTTTCCGAATTCTATACGGCCCCTATCAAACTCACTAAGTTGACGAAATCGTACAGGTCTCCGTACTCTAAGCATCGTAACCGATCGTAAAGGATGTCAAGAACCAAAATCCGCCAACGTTGATTCTTTACTGCGGCTGAAAGATTCATTTTTAGAGCGTTAGTGAATTAAAAAAAAGCAGTATAAAAACCGGAATGTCCAACTGATAAGGCTGAAAATTTTTTCACTTGTTATTTACAGTAAGATAAATACATTCATCAACTTTTATTAAAATAAAACCATTTAAACTGGGTGTTCGGATTTATATGTCACTTAGTATATTATATCCAGTAGTGGTTATTCATGTTATATAAATAAAACAACACAATTTGTTAGTGAAACCTGCATTCAGGACCGCTTCATAAAAAAGATTATGTAATTTTACCTATACTCCTTTAGGTTATGAAAGTGAGATTACTGGTACTGGCAAAATGCAAATAACACAAAATTTAAGTATTTTATTTTGTAGCACAAAATTAATAGCCAATGCTAAAAAGGAATCGTAGAATGAGGTTTATTTATCAAATACCATAGATGAAACCACAAACATACTAACAAGCAAAGTAAAAACATTATAGAAAATAGTACAAATAAAGTAAAACTAGATTATATAGAGAAGGGTAGAAGCAAATGGACAACTACGAGGGATGCCTTTTAAGTTTTGCATATAGAAACATAGTAGGCCGCGCGGATCGAACGTCAGTACTGAATCTTAACCTTACTCTTTAGTAAACTTAAATTCAAAGTTTCATAACAATACGTGCAGTGCTCGCACTACAGTGAATTTTTAAGTGTCACCAAGTCATTAGGAAAATGGAACTCAACCGAGAACATTTTCGGGCCATAATTTATTACAACTTTCAGAGACATTTATCGCAACAAGAATGCCTTGCTGAGTTACTGTCTGTTTTCGGCAACGAAGCGCGACATCAGTCGACAATTTCCCGTTGGTATCGAGAATTCAAACGTGGATGGGTGAGTCTTAACGACGATCCCAGGGTGGGTGCACCAAAAGCGGCAGTCACCCAGGAAAACGTCGATGCTGTGCGCAAACTCATCATTGAAGATAGACATGTGACATATCGCGAGATTGAGGCGTCCTTGAAGATCTCAAAGACGTCAATTAAAAAAAAATGTACATGAAGAACTAGGAGTAAGAAAATTAGTTTCTAGGTGGATACCCCACCTGTTGACTGAAGAGCAGAAAGCAGCCATATTGTTAGTGGTGATGAATCATGGATTTACTGTAATGAATCAGAAAATAAACGACAGTCGGCTGTTTGGGTCTTCCAAGGTGAAGAAAAGCCAACAAAAGTCATCCGTTCTCGAAGTGTTCCGAAAAAGATGGTCGCGACATTTCTATCAAAAGCGGATCATATTGCAACAATACCTCTTAATGATCAAAGAACTGTTTCTGCGGATTGGTATACCACCATTTGTTTGCCAAAAGTCATCACCGAGCTTCGAAAAATCAACCCCGAAAGAAGAGTCATCCTCCACCAAGACAATCCAAGCTCGCACACAGCCCAAAAAACAAGGCGGTATTTAACGGAAGAAAACGTGGAATTATTGGACCATCCTCCGTATAGTCAACAGACTGCGTGGTCAAAGATTCCAGACACCAGAAGAAGCAGTTGACGCATTCAAAACCGCCGTTTTGGATCTGCCAGCAAACGAGTGGAATAAGTGCTTTGAACATTGGTTCGAGCGCATGCAGATGTGTATTAATCTTCGTGGAGAATACTTCGAAAAACAATAAAGTCATTTAAAACTACCTACCGTGTCGTTTTATTGCCATATGCAAAACTCAAAAGGCATCCCTCATACTTACTGATATAATAAAAATGTTAAATTGATGATTAATCCATGCAATCCAAAGCATCAATGGCTCAGGACATGAATATCAAAATTTGCTGAGAAATACTCATATCGTCGGCTTTCTCACGAAGTGTCCTAACCAACGTTTAGTAAGTTTTACAGGAGAGCAAGGGTATTGTTGAATGAGCATTGTATGTAAAGTTTAGATATTTCGGAATTGAACATGTCAGTGCATCAACCCATATTCATTGTCGATCATATGCTGTTTCAATATTTACGCTAGCTTATCAAGTTATTTTTGAACAAAATGGAAAACGCACGTAGGTCACTTCGTGACAATTTTCAGAAGCTTTTTGTCACATAGGGCTAAAATATATTTTAATTAAAGTTCTTATTATTACAGATATACAGAATTTACTTCATTTACTTATAAGCAAAGAATCATATTTACAGCCAAAGGGGCGATTATCTCAAAAAATGTGTTGATTGATAATTTTTTAAGTAATCGTTGGTCTGCTGACAGCAGAATTTTTATAAATAAGTTCAGATCGACTTTTGAATTTTGGCTACCTCCTACAACATTTCTCAGAGTGACCAAGCCCTTAATTGATGTAGATTATGACACAAATATTAGGTGATAAGATGAAGAAAACAACTCGAAACGTCAAAGCAATTTTTATTGAAATAAAAACTAAAAGAAAAACAACTAACTTAAACACTATCTTTTGACATATTACCAGCTAATTTTGATGTGTTATAATACACAAAAAAACAAAGGCAATAGTTTTAATACTTATTTCATTCCGTTTCATGGGGCAAATTTCTAAAAAAGTGTTGGAATTCTGGTAAGCATACGACGGGTGTTGGATTTTCACATAAGGAAATTTAGTCGGAGTATTTCTATTTTGTTATTTTTGCTGGTTCCTTATTAAGTTGTTGTACGAGTAGTTTAATATTATTTATATTATTACTATTTCTCAACGGTCTTTTTAACTCAATACTGTCATAACTAGTATCGTGGTGTCTAGACATGAAAGATATTTTGGTGGGCATGTCTTTTCTTACCATAAAGTCCATAATACCCGTCCATTTAATATTTTGCCCTTTCTCAGTTCGCCTTGTGGACAACTTTCTTAAATCTTTTGAAAGTTCCGTGAAGTGAAAATATTCATTGGGATTACTAAATAAGGTTGACGTCTTCTGGCCAATCGAAAAACCGGATAGAATTGTGAGACTTCAAAAAGATCTCCAGCTCCCTTTACCGCAGTATGAATTGCACTGTGGGCAGAGTCTCCCTTCACTTTAGCCATGATTCGGCCACCGAGGTGCGTATACTAGCAACGATTATAGCATACTATGAGACCTATCCTCATTTAGGTCTCTTCGTGGGAATTATATATTTACCTTGACAGATAAGACACCCAGGAGTTAATGATTTGTTACCTATACTAACAGATATATAGTTATGCCTCTAAGTCAGATTAACCGGCATGAAATAATACACCTATATGCGGGTTATCTCAATGGTTGCTATTTTGTCAGTTAGAACACTTCGTGAGAAAGGCGACGATATGTATAATGGAGTAAATAGATGTTTACTACTACTACATTAACCCACAAATCAGGTATTGCTGGTTTGTAATTTTCTCCAAAGAAGATTCCGAGATAGAGTTCGTCCCTGTTGCGATCTCCTAATTTAATGTATCTCGCAATCCCAGTCGTACAACGTCGTCCCGGGGCCTCCGTGCTGGAGTCCATACGTGCGCTCGGCTTTTGTTTCCGAAGTTTTTCCGGTCGCAAGACGTTTCGACCTTGTTGACCCACGCCAGTTCGCCACGGCGGACTTAATGGCTCACGATTCAGCCAGAACGGCCTTCCGACTAGCATAAATTTTAATTTGTTTTCAATTAACAAATTGCTGGTGCGGAGGTTTCTTCGTATCGTCGGCGCTAAGCTCTTGGGGCCATGGAAATGTTGTAATTGGTTGGAATATCTTGATTATGCAGAGCTTTGCTATGAACAGACCAAATGATGTACTGGAGGAAGTATTGTAATCGAAAAAAATTCGAAAACGAAATATGTATTCAATTCAATTTCAATTCAATAGGCTTTATTCAGAAAAAATAGTTGATATAAAAACAAAATGAATGAATAAAGCATGAGCCGATAAGTGTAAAATAACACTTGTTTCGGCATAGAAAGAAACCGTATATCTATAAATCTATACTAAAAGCACATTGTAATCTCACATACATATACAGGGTGCTTCAGTTTATTATTGCATAACTCTAAGATTCGATAGAACTTTTAAAATTAATGCATAAAGTCTATATAAACATGGGTCGAAAAATGCGTGGCTTCCGAAATACAGGGTGTTTAAATTTACTTTCTAAAATAGTTTTTTTTTAAATATTTCGAACCATATTTGATGTATAACAGTCAAAATTGGTATACAAGGGTTTTTTGGTACGCCAAAACGAACCATGGGCATAGTTTTTTTTACTGTAGCCGCTAGAGGGCGCTCTCTACTGTACCTGTAGTGTATTAAAATGACCGAAAAAATTTTCTTAGTACAATTTTTTGCTTTATGAATAAAAAAACTGATACTTCGCACTTTTCTGCATAAAAAAGCTCTCCTGTGAGTTTTCGTTATAGTTAGCCGTTTTTGAGATATTTCGATTTTTAAGGTTCGATGCATTTTTAATTATTTATGGGAAAATAATATTTTTTTACATTTCCGATTTCGGGCATTACAAGTAATTAAGATGATCGTTTAGATTGTGTTTTAAACACAGCAATAATTCCTAACTCCAAATAAACACAAAAAAACAGAATATTAATTTGTTTAATTTTTCAATATTATTTTTAACAAATTAAATTAATTATTTACAACTAAAATGCTATTGGATAGTTAGGACAAACATACAAAATCTAAAGTAGTTGCTCGAAATGTAAACCCAATTGTTCAATACACAATTCACATCTCCGAATGATCGAACGTGGTATAGCATTATTCAAATAAGGCCTTATTTCATCACATGCATTCCTGATTCTGTCTATTAGCATATCTCTTGTGGTGACGGGAGTCTGGTAAACTTTTTCTTTTAGCAATCCCCACACAAAGAAATCTAATGGATTTAGGTCAGGGGATCGTGGAGGCCAGGCGACTGGTCCTCCACGGCCGATCCATCTTTCTGGATAATTTTGTCCAGCCAGTTTCTAACTATTCTCGAATAATGAGCTGGACAACCATCAAGCTGAAACCAGGCCAATCTTCTTAAATCTAACATAACATCATCCCACATATTTGCATGTTCAGCCTTTAAGAATTCCAAGAAGGTCGCAGCATTTAACCTTGCAGGCAAAAGGTAGGGCCCAAATAGTCGATTACGGTAGATACCAATCCACACGTTCACACTAAATTCATGCTAAAAATTCCTTTCCCGAACTGCATGCGGATTTTCATGCGACCAAATATGTTGATTATGAAAATTGACCACTCCACGTCTAGTGAAGCATGACTCATCGGTCCATAAAACGTTACTTAAAAACTCCCTATTATTATCAGTTCTATCAACAATCCACTGACAAAATGTGATTCTTCGTTCTCCGTCCCCTGGCTGTAGTCCTTGCACAGGTTGCAAATGTTAAGGACGTCTATGGTCATTTCTAAGAACACGGTGAACATGGCTTGCTGAAATTCCCAAGGCACCAGAAACTCTCCTAACACTTGTGGTCGGATCTCTATCAAACTCACGCAGAATCATACGGGTAAATCTGCGCTGACGAACATTTATGTTTTGATCCCTTTGGAGATCCATTTGGTAGGTTGTCAATATTTTTTTCATGCATCGGAGTTTTGAGAGAACCGTACGCAACTTTTTACAGATGAAGTCTTTATCCCACCTCAGATGTTCATCTATAATCACACCAAGGTACCTAGCACTTCTTTCTGGCTTCATTGAATGTTGTTTCCCACTTATACTTATATCACTAAACGATGGCTTCGTAGATTTATTGCTTGTAAAGGGGATATAACATGTTTTTTCCCAGTTTACTGTTAATATCATGTGCTGGAACCATCTCATTATATTTGGTAGGTCAGTCTCTACGGTGGATTCGAGATTTTGCTAAGTGTCTGCTTTGTAAAATATAGCGGTTTCATCTGCAAATCCAAAGATGTCTCCACTACATTGGACCGAAAACATCTCATTGATGTAAATACTAAACAGTATAGGCCCTAGAATGGTGCCTTGCGGTACTCCGTACTCAATCGTTCTTATGTCGCTCACTTCATTATCTAATCTACTTTTTTACAGGGACAGATGCTCTAAAAAAAACTGTGTTGTGTATGTAAGCGCAATATCATTTTTCATTTAATCTATGGAATGTCAACGACACTGTCTACCGATTTCGCATTGTTCGGTTCTGGAACACTGGGTTGAACCCTACTTATGATATATACTTTCAAATTTGAAAAGGACTCTAACTTTCTACTTCAATATCTCCCGTACCAACGTATCACTTTATTCACCGCTATATTCTATATGCAAAGTATAATTCCATAGCGGACATTTCTGTCATTAATTTTGTCGAATTCTGGTACTACTACAATTAAAACTCAATGTTTGTTTTATGTGAGCTTGAATACACACTCTAGGTTAAGTTACCAATTTAATTAGTATGTTGGGCAATTTTGTATGAATGAACAAATAACTCACAAGTATCTGGACTGGCATCTCACAGACTGTCCATGAAGAATTATAGTACTCATACTTTATTTTTTGTTTCAGATGATTGCCAGAAAGGCAATACCACTGTCTGTCAAAATGGCGCTTGTTTGGACAGCCAGTGTTATTGCAATGACGGCTACGGTGGATGCGGTTGCGAAGTGCCAGGTAAGACATAACTATCTAAGGTCTCTTTTGCATATTTAAAAAGAAACGTCCTATCTGTGCTTATTGCTAGATTTTCTAACGCTATCAAGGTCATTGAGGAAGCTGTAAAAATAAGCACACCACTACTATGAAAGTCTCCGAACTAGATTTCGAATTATGGATACGCCATCTAAATGCTGTTCCTCGGAATTCCATTGTCTATAAGGCTTTTTGTTTCACGACGAGTCAATTGATACGTAATCGTAATCAGTTGATTTGGCGAACATACTCCTTTCTTGCCTGTCTATCAAGTAATGACGTAGAGTGTGGTTGGGTGTGAAGTTTGAAGAAGCTTTGCAAGCAATTAGACAGAATTGAAACAGAGCACAAATGACTATCTGATAATTCTAAGGCCTACCTAGGAAATTTTGCTTTTTTGAAATAACTAAGATGTTTCCAAGATTCCAATAAGATAAATGCTTCGTATTAAAATCTTTAGGGCTAAGATCGTTAGAACTGGTAACAGTCTGACTGATAGTCAAGTTTCTCAGTTAACTGCTAAGCTGTGATTTCTCTACCCAGACCTCAATCGACGCATAGACGAGAAACCCTAAAGAAGCAACTAACTACTGATTCTAGGCTTGCGCTTTTTTTTATACTTTAACCACCACGAAGGCCTAAGACCTGAACACGGATGGGTACCGTGGGGCTACAGGAGGATGCAGGGGAAAGGGGAAGACGCCACACGGACTCTAACGAGGGAACATACGTGAGCAAGCATTCCGCCTTAGAGATCCGCCGGGTGGTACCTCCACGTTCGACAGCGATTTACCATCTACCACCTACGGTAACTGATAACACTTTGACTGACAGTTGAAGGTTAAGCTGCCATATCGTTACCTAGAGACTTCAACAGGCGCTTAGACGAGAAACCCGAAAGAAGCAACCAACTACTGATTCTGGAGGACAAGAGACGAAACCTCATATTGGAGTTTTAATTTTCTCATCTTGTAAAGGAGAAAAAGTTAATGTGAAATCTCACTATAAATAAGTACAGGAAAAGATTAAAACGAAAATGTTCCAACCGGAATCTTGTTAGTTAACTTTCCCCCATTTAAGATAATTCATATATCTTACTACCGTTTCGTACTAAAATCGGTAGTTCTGGAGAATAAGGCTAGAATCGGTAGAACTGGTAACAATCTGACTGACAGTTGAGTTTCTCAGTTAAATGTAAAGTTATGATTTCTCCACCCAGAGACTTCAATAGGAGCGTAGACGAGAAACACTAACGAATCAACCAATTTCTTATCCCAGGCTTGCGTTTTGTTTTTTTTTATACTTGAAACACCATGAAGGTCAAAGGCCTAAGCACCGATGGGTACCGTGGGGCTACACGGGAAAGGGGGGATACCGCACGGACTCTAGCGAGGGAACACGTGTGCATGTATTCCGCCTTAGACATCCGCCGGGTGGTACCTCCACGTTCGACAGCCAGAGACCGTCTACCACCTACGTTAACTGGTAATAATGTGACTGATAGTTAAATGTTAAGCTGCCATTTCTTTACCTAGAGGCTTCAACAGGCGCGTAGACGCGAAACCCTAAAGAAGCAACCGATTACTGATCCCAGGCTTGCGCTTTGTTTTTTTTTATACTTGAACCACCATGAAGGTCCAAGGCCTAAGCACCGATGGGTACCGTGGGGCTACATGGGACACGGGGGATACCACACGGACTCTAGCGAGGAAACACGTGTGCATGCATTCAGGCTTAGAGATCCGCCGGGTGGTACCTCCACGTTCGACAGCCAGATACCGTCTACCACCTACGTTAACTGGTAACAATGTGACTGATAGCACTGGTCAACAAAATTTTAACTTTGTCGTGCCACACGGACTTTTTTGATATTTTTTACTTTAATTGGTAATTGTAAGAAAAAATAAACAGTTAAAAAAAATTGCTAGACAAGGATTTTATTCTATTGAGTAATTTAAAATATTAAGAAAAAACACGGATCTTGTAAATCAAAAGTTATTTTTTCTATAAATGACTTAATAATCTAAGATTTTCTTGAATATTTAGCTTCTGGTTGGTCCCTTTTAATTGTCCAGCAGTAATCTGCTAACATATTTGGGCTCCATTTGCCCTGGCACCCCTTTTCCATATTAGAAATATCCTGATGGAACCTCTCACCGTGCTCGTCGCTGACAGCCCCTAAATTGTCAGGAAAAAAATCCAGGTGCGAGTCTAAAAAATGGATCTTAAGTGACATGTTGCAACCCAATGCTTGATATGACAACAATAGCTCGCTAACCAACTCTCTGTAGCTTTCACTCTTGTGGTTACCCAAAAAATTTGAAACAACATTTTTAAAAGCCTTCCATGCAGATGTTTCTAAATCGATTAATTTTTCTTCAAATCTTGAATCTTTTATTAACTCCCTAATTTGAGGGCCAACAAAAATACCCTCTTTTAGATACAAAAATCCACTCCCATTGCGATCCATTGCCTTCACAAAATTTTTTATTAATCCTAATTTGATATGCAATGGTGGTAGAAGCACACTATTTGGCTGTACAAGGGGTAAATACTTTACGTTTTTTTGCTCAGGAACTAACGATGCACGCGTAGGCCATGTTTTTATATAGTGATTAGTTCTGTCTCGGCTATCCCATTCACATACAAAGCAGCAAAACTTTGTATAACCCAGCTGAAGTCCAAGTAATAGTGCAACAACTTTAAGATCACCGCAGATTTTGAAGGAATATGTACTGTAATTTATTTTTTCAAGTAAAAGTTTAATATTTTCATAGGTTTCTTTCATATTTGCAGCATGGGCCAGAGGTACAGACGGTAGCTTATTTCCATTATGCAATAACACTGCTTTTAGACTTGCTTTCGAAGAATCAATGAGAGAGATCAAAATCTATGTCCAACGTTTTCATAATCTCATTTATGTTATTGCAAAACACCAAATCTCCATCCTGAGAAAAATACGTTCTGAAGTGTTGATCACGGTTTTGAAAATAGCTAACTTTTGTATTATGATGTAGCAAATTCCATTCTTTTAGACGTGATCTTAATAGTTCTGACTGCTTTTTTGACAAATTTAAATCCCGAACCAAATCATTTAGGTCTCCTTGAGTTATCAAATGTGGCTCGTTTACAATTCCTTTTAACTCAAAGTCATCGTCCTCGTCAACACATTCAGCTGAAGTGGACGGTTGTGAATTGTTCTCAATAGACGTAGTTGCAACTGGTATTAGTTCTGACAATTTTTTACAATGAGAGACTGGTCTTATAGCCGAAGATAAGTTAGGGTAAATAACTGTGGTTTTTTTCTTGTAATTTATACCTTTTATGTCTGTGAGACAAAAATAGCAATCTGAAACGTGATCTCGCTGTTCAGTCCATATCATGGGTACAGCAAACGGCATAGGTCGTGCACCTTTCTTCCAGTCAGTTAAATTTTTCACACACGTTATGCAACAGACATGAGGGGCCCAGGATTTGTCTTGATGGGCGACAGAAAAACCAAAACATTGGTGATAACACTCCAACACAAGATTCGTAAAATTTCGTCGTTGTTTTTTGAATGTTAGTTCTCCGCAGACAAAACAAAAAGAGTTAGGATCATTATTACACTTCCTCGACATATTCACAGGGTTAATAAATCACAAAAAAGTGTTCAAATTCAACAACAAATATATTTATAAGGATTTACTTTTAAGCGTTTCTGTTAATTTACTGCCGTAGTACTAGTTATGAGTATTACCGTATCACAACAAATATGAGGCTAATAGACATATGACAGCTGTCATGTAATAATGAGGGTAGACTGATAAAACAAAATTAGCTGTAAAAGTTCGTGTGGCAAAACCAGTGTTGACCAGTGAGTTAAATGTTAAGCTGCCATTTCTCTACCTAGAGACTTCAACGGGTGCGTAGACGCGAAACCCAAAAGAAGCAACCGATTACTGATCCCAGGATTGCGCTTTGTTTTTTTTTATACTGCGACCACCACGAAGGCCTAAGGCCTAAGCACCGATGGGTACCGTGGGGCTACAGGGGATTCCGCACGGACTCTAGCGAGGGAACACGTGTTCATGTATTCCACCTTAGACATCCGCCGGGTGGTACCTCCACGTTCGACAGCCAGAGACCGTCTACCACCTACGTTAACTGGTAACAATGTGACTGATAGTTAAATGTTAAGCAGACATTTCTTTACCAAGAGACTTCAACAGGCGCGTAGACGCGAAACCCTAAAGAAGCAACCGATTACTGATCCCAGGAATGCGCTTTGTTTTTTTTTCATACTGAAACCACCACGAAGGCCTAATGCCTAAGCACCGATGGGTACCGTGGGGCTACAGGGGAAAGGGGGGATACCGCACGGACTCTAGCGAGGGAACACGTGTGCATGTATTCCGCCTTAGACATCCGCCGGGTGGTACCTCCACGTTCGACAGCCAGAGACCGTCTACCACCTACGTTAACTGGTAATAATGTGACTGATAGTTAAATGTTAAGCAGACATTTCTTTACCAAGAGACTTCAACAGGCGCGTAGACGCGAAACCCTAAAGAAGCAACCGATTACTGATCCCAGGATTGCGCTTTGTTTTTTTTTATACTGAAACCACCACGAAGGCCTAAGGCCTAAGCACCGATGGGTACCGTGGGGCTACAGAGGAAAGGGGGGATACCGCACGGACTCTAACGAGGGAACACGTGTGCATGTATTCCGCCTTAGACATCCGCCGGGTGGTACCTCCACGTTCGACAGCCAGAGACCGTCTACCACCTACGTTAACTGGTAACAATGTGACTGGTAGTTAAATGTTAAGCAGACATTTCTCTACCTAGAGACTTCAACGGGTGCGTAGACGCGAAACCCAAAAGAAGCAACCGATTACTGATCCCCGGATTGCGCTTTGTTTTTTTTTTATACTGCGACCACCACGAAGGCCTAAGGCCTAAGCACCGATGGGTACCGTGGGGCTACAGGGGATTCCG